TGGAGTCGGCCTCATCAGGGGCATTTAAGTGGCTATTAGATAGGCATATAGATGATAGTATAAGGTAGGGGTGGAGGTTAGATAGACGTTAGGATTAGGGTAAAAGTTCGGCACAACGTTGTGGGCCGAAGGGCTTGTACTGTGCTGTACTGTTCTATGTTCTATGTTCTATGTTCTATGTTCTATGACTGTGGGACACTCTTCCCAGACTGCTTCACTGTGATGCCGACTGTGGGACACTCTCCTCGGGATTGGAGTTTGGAATTTCTGTCATTTATTGTGGCATCACAGCTCATTCCTATCCTAAAACCTACATCCTTTGAAGAGCATATTTGCAAGCACGGTAAGTAAACTGGGTTCTGAATAAGGATCACTGGAATCAACATGTTAACTCTATTTTCTCTCTAAAGATACTGCCAGATTTACTGAATTTCTGATTTACTGAATTACTGATACTGAAAAGGTGAGATTACATTTTTTAAATTATGGTAAAAACAAGGAAGGAAAAAAGAATGAGACTGATATGTTTAGCCCAAGTTCTAGAAAACAAAAGGTACAGTAGCCATAGTCTTGCCAGACCATAGGGCCACTCTCACTCTGATTAGAGAGAGACCACTGGTGGTGGTTTAACCTGAAAGTCACTGTGCCTCAGGTGAGCAGAGAGTTTGAGAAAGAGAATCCTTCGTTGTAAGCTCTGCTGATGTAGGAATCAAATCCACACTGTTGGTATCACTCTATATCACAATCCAGTCAGTGAGCTAACTGATCATCTTCTATAAAAATACAGCAGATCAATCTGGAGGTGATAGTTCTGTATCAGACAACCCCTCTCAGAAATTGAATCAGTGGTGTTGTCTAAAAGACCTGGTGACAATGAAGAAATGGAGGCCGCTTCAAATTACAGTCAATGAGGAACAGGCAGCAATTTATTGGGTGGTAATTCCATTTGAGTATTGTAACAAAATTTTCCTATTGGATCACCAAATCCCAATAGCAGGTCATTGAGATACAAAGAAAACACAAGCTAAAATAGCAAAACATTTTCTGTTGCACAGGATTTCATAAAGGTATGGTGAAGTCTTACCACCCATGCCAGGTAACGTGATAATTCCAAACATCAATTGCACCTATGCCTTTAGTTTTGACATCAGCTTTCAAAGAACCATTTAGCAGAGTCTCAATGTATGACCATAACCAGGACTCATAGAGTCGTAGAACTGTTCAGTATGAAAATAGACCACTCAGTCCACTTATCCATGCCAACCAGATATCCTAAATTAATAAAATCCCATTTGCCAGCATTTGGCCCTTCCTGTTCATACACCTATCCAGATGTCTTCTAAACGTTGTAATTGTACCAGCTGCCACCATTTCCTCTGGCAGCTCATTCCGTACACACACCACCCTCTGTGTGAAAACTTTGCCCCGTAGGTCCATTTCAAATCTTTCCCCTCTCACCTTAACCCTATGCCCTCTAGTTTTGCACTCTGCTACCCTGGGGAAAAGGCCTCGGTTATTCACCCTATCCATGCCCCTCATGATTTTATAAACCTCTATAAGGTCACCCCTCAGCCTCCAACGCTCCAGGGAAAATAGCCCCAGCCTATTCAGCCTCTCCCTGTAGCTCAAACTCTCCAACTCTGGCAACTTCATTGTAATTTTTTTCTGAACCCTAAAGTCCTGAAACAAGTGGCCCTGGATGCATTTGGTGGTTATTTTCCAAAATTCAATAGACCCTGGACCAGTTCCTACAGATTGGGGGGGTAGCAAATGTAACCCCACTATTTAAGAAGGAGGGAGAGGAAAAACAAACAGAGAATTATTAATCTGCTACAAACGTGTCACTAACATCAATAACAAAGAAAATACTACAGTTTATTTAAAAAATGTGGTAATAGAGTATTTAGAAAGCATTAACTGGATTGGACAAAGCCAACATGGGTCTATGAAAGACAACTCATGCTTAACAAATTTACTGGAGTATTTTGAGGATGTGATGAATAGATCTGGGAGAACCAGTGCTTGCAGTGTATTTGGATTTTCAGAAGGATTTTGCTAAGGTTCCTCACAAGAGCTGAGAGGCAAAGTTAAAACACATGGGATTGGGGGTGGGGTAATGTATTGGCATGGATTGAGAATTGGTTGACAGATAGGAAACAGAGAGTAGGAATAATTGGTCTTTTTCTGAGTGGCAGATGATGACACTGATGGAATATCTCAAAGGTCAGAGCTTGGACCTGGATGAGAGAACCAAATGTAACATTGCCAAGTTTACTGATGTCACAAGGCTGGGCAGGATTGTGAGTCATGAGGAGGATGCAAGGGGGTTTCAAAATGCCTTAGACAAGTTGAGTGAGTGGACAAGTACATGGTACATATATCACTGTGTCTAAGTTTAAAGTTATACACTTCAGCGCAAAAATTAGAGGTAGAGCATATTTATATGGTTATATATTGGGAAGTGTGGATATACTGAGGGATCTGGGGGTCCTTGTACACCAGTCAATGAAAGTAGATAGGCAGATCCAGCAAGCAATTATAAAAACAAATGGTATGTTGGTCTTCATTGCAACAAGATCGGAGTTCAGAAGCGATAGCTTACTGCAGTTATACAGGGCCTTGGCGAGACCACACCTGGAGAACTGTGTGCAATTTTGGATGTACTTGTCATAGAGTGAGTGCAGCAAAGGTTCACTGGGCTGATACCAGGGATGGTAGCACTGTCCATGAGGAGAGATTGGTTGGAATGGGTCTTTATTCATCGAAATTTAGGAGGATGAGAGAAGATCTGATTGAAATGCATAAAATTCTAACAGGGCTGTACAGACCAGTCATAAGGAAGATGTTTTCCCTGGTTGGGAGTCTGGAACCAGGGACACAGTCTCAGGATATGGGGTTCATCATTTGGGACTGAGACACAGAAACATTTCTCCACTCAGAGGGAAGGCAATCTGTGGAAATCTGTGGAGGCCAAGCCACTGAATGTATTCAAGAAAGAGATAGATGCTTTTGTAGATTTTAAACTTATCAAGGGTATGGGAAGAAAATTGGCATATGAAATTGAAATAGAGGTTCGGCCATGATCATATTGAATGGTGGAGCAGGCTCAAAAGGCTGAATGGCCTATTGCTGTTCCTAGCTTCAATGTTTCTAACTTCATGCCCACTGTAAACTGCTGGCATGCAAAATCATGGCCCTGTCTCCTTACTACATTTGCAAGATTTTACATAAACATCTGCAACTTTGCGATCTCTCCTCTCAGTTATATTTCAGCCCCATGCCACTGAGGCTAAAGGTTGTGGGTGAATCTTTACTCCCTGGATTTAAGCAAACAATACAGACTGATACTCCCAGTGTAGTCTCGGTGAAATGGGGAATGGTGCACTGTTGAAAGTGATATCCTTTTGATGGTGCATGTAAAAGTTTCAAAGCAGAGGAATTCCAGCTCGGCGAGCCAGCCAACCTCAACAACCTCAACACCCACAACCCGAGCTACACATCTACTCCAAAACCTTACAGAGGAATTCATCCCTATGTCCCTGCCAATAGAGAACTTTTATTATTCATTCAGGCATGTGGATGTGGTGCCAATCAAGCGGGCTGCTTTGTCCTGGATGGTGTCAAGCTTCCCGAGTGTTATTGGAGCTGCACTCATCCAGGGAAATGGAGAGTATTCCATCACACTCCTGACTTGTGCCTTGTAGATGGTGGACAGGCTTTGGGGAGTGAGGAGGTGAGTTACTCACCGCAGGTTTCCCAGCCTTTGACCTGCTCTTGTAGCCACTACATTTAGTCCAGTTCAGTTTCTAGTCGATGGTAACCCCCAGAATCGTGGGGAATTCATTTTGACTGCTGGAGTGTGTAAAATTGAATTTCAAATGTTCCTTTCTTGCTCCAGTTTTTTTTTAGTACAATCAATGTGCAGCTACTTTAGTGCTATTGGTATCGAAAGGTTGTAATAAGGATGTGTTAGTTTGAACTAAATATAATGTAGGAACATGGGAATGAGAGGAGATTGTGCTCTCCTTTGAGCCTGTTTTGCAATCCATTAGATCATGGCTGATGTGTATTTGAATTACAAGGGTAATAAAAAAATGATCTGTAGCGCAACTGGGGAGTGAGCCTTCAATCAGCTGATTTCCAGATTTGGACAATTAAGTCTATTTTGCATAATTGTTGTCACTCACAACCATAGAGATGTATTAAGCTAGAAGATCAGTCCAGCACAAGTATTACTTGGAGATAATAAGGACTGCAGATGCTGGATGCCAGAATCTATAGGTGTGAGGCTGGAAAAGCACAGCATTCAGCCCAAAATGCTGACTTACCTGCTCCTGTGATGCTGTCTGACCTGCTGTGCTTTTCCAGCCTCACACCTACAGATACAAGTATTACCTAAAGGACCAGGTACCCAGTGGTGAGTTCTTGGATTCTAACAGGAAGCCTAACTGCAATCTGCCACGGAGGACAGACATGGTGGTTAACTACTTTTAAATTACAGCTACCCTGCAATGCAACAAATGTTAAACTTTAATTTTGTAACTGTACTTTAACTACACTTGCATACATAGACTCCTAAGTCACTTTGCCGAACACCTCCAGGTCTCCTTACTATTAAGAAAGCATTGCAATTTTCTCAAAATTGATACCTATTTTCCATAGTTTTCAGTTAGTCAGCAGTGACTGCCCTTCACAAGTCCACACTCATATTCTTTAGCCATACTCAACCTAGTCAGTCAACAGAGAAGCTTGATTAAACAAAACATGTACCACATATTTGTTGTCTCAGTGAAGACTACAGGTCATCATAACCTGTGCCATTATATTTGATCTCCGTCAGATCAATGATATTTTTTAACCAAATTGTACAGTTCCAAGTAGAATTTGACCCTGTGATCCATAAGAAGTCAGATACTCAACAAATTAACATAGTCAGGTGGTGTTGAATTAAACTTATATATCACAAGCCAGAGTTCCCCAAATCTCATTTGACTGTCGACATGAGGGCCATTATTTTCATGCTGATTGTATCCGTTGTGGGTGAGTTCGTACCACTGTTTGTGATACACTATTTTTATATCCATCTATCTCATTTTAGAATCTGATATTTGATATTAAGTTAAATTCATGTTCTTTTTCTAGGCAGTCAAAAGTTAAAGTATGGTAAGTACCACTTCTCTCAGTTAAGTTTTACAACCACAGCTTCATTCAGCAGGTTTTGTTGCTGGTATCTTACTGCTATTTTAACTTCCTGCAGAACCTACTTTTACTGAAGGTATGATGACTGTTTATACATATGAAGGTGTTATTCTGACTGGACTTCCAGAAAGTGGCTTAAACAGAGCTGGTGTGAGAATTAATTGTGGACTGAACATTATTCCAATGGGGCAGAACACCTACCTCCTTAAGGTACTTCCTTAAACTCACTCTAGGAATACATTTGCAATGTTTATACTCTTGAAAGAAAATGTGCAGTATGCCCTCTTCTATCCTACTAATTGTATCTTCAAAAAAAACCCCAGTAAGATATGTCAAACACAACTTCTTTTTCATAAGTTGATGTTGAGTTTTCTGTAATGCTGTTGGCATTTTCTAAGTGATCTGTTGTCACGTGCTTTACAATAAACTTCAGCCTTTTACCTTCTACTGCTGATAGGCTGACAGTTTTGTAATTCTCCTCTGTCATTTTTAAACAGTGACGTTACATTTGCCACCCTTTAATCTGCTCGGACTATTTCATAATCTATAGAATTTTGGATGATGTCAACCAACACACCAACTATCTCCATGATCAACTTCTTTAGCACCCTGGGATTGGAATTATCAGGCCCTGGGGATTTATCAGCTTTCTGTCCCTTTCATTTCTCCAACATTTTTTTTTCTGATACTAATTTGTTCCATTCCTCCTTTCCAATTTTCAGAAACCTTTTGCTGATGAAAATTAAAGCACATGGAATTGGGGGTAATATACTGACATGGATTGAGAATTGGTTAATAGGAAATAGAGAATAAGAATAAATTGATCTTTTTCCAAATGGAAATCGGTAGGTGACAAGTGGGAGTACTGTGGGTATCAGCGCTTAAGCCCTAGCTATTCACAAAATGACCAACAATTGGATAAAGGAGTCAAAATTAACATTCCCAAGTTTATTAATGACACAAAATGAAGGAAGTGTGGGAGGTGAGGAGATTGTAAAGAGACTCCAGGGTAATTTAGACAAGTTGAGTGAGTGAGCAACTGTAGAAGACTGTGGGGGCCAAGTCACTGAACATATTTAAGAAAAAACTAGATTTCTAGAGGCTAAAGGTGTCAAGGAAAATGGAAGGAGTGTATGAGTAGAGGATTGAGATAGAGGATCAGCCACAAACCACAATCATTATGAAGCCTACTCCTGCTCCTATTTTATATTTTTCTATTTAAGTTTTGGAGAAACTGAATTTGAGACATTAGCACCATGAGAGGACTTTAAGAGGTTCATAAAATTGTGAAGGGCATGGATAGTGTAAATAGCCGAGGTCTTTTCCCCAGGGTAGGGGAGTCCAACACTAGAGGGATAGGTTTAAGGTGGGAGGGGAAAGTTTTAAAAGAGCCTTAAGGGGCAATTTTTTCACGCAGCGGGTGGTGTGTTTATGGAATGAACTGTCAGAGGAAGTGGTGGACGCTGGTACAATTACAACTTTTAAAATACATTCGGATGGGTATGTGAATAGGAAGGGTTTAGCTAAATGCTGGAAAATATCCCAAATTAATTTAGTATATCTAGTTGGCAATGGACAAGTTGGACTGAGGGGTCTGTTTCCCTGCTGTCCATCTCTATGACTGTAGGTATCCATGAATTAAAAAGAAAAATTGCCCAGTAACACAGTGTGGAGCTGGAGGAACACAGTAGACCAGGCAGCATCAGAGGAGCAGGAAAGTTGACATTTTGGGTCGGGTCCCGATGGTGCCTGGCCTGCTGTATTCCTCCAGCTCCACACTGTGTTATCACTGACTCCAGCATCTGTGGTTCTTACTATTATTGTCTAATAATAGCTTTTTAGTTAAGCTGCAGTTTGTCACAGAAAAGTAGATAGCTGCACTCTGACCTCCCGAAAGCCTGCAAGCCAAGACGGGTCTCTCTCCCTCTCTTTGTATTGTTTCAAATCTCTAGTGCCCATATTATTCTATTGGATTTTTTATTATTTGCTCCTGGAGATTCCACCAAATGAATCTGTTGGGTTCTGTACAATTTGTTCTATGATCATGAGTTAAAAGGTCCATTAAAATTGTTCAAGTTATAGAAGTTTTTAAGACAAAACAACAAATTTTCAACAAAAACAATGTTGCTGGAAAAGCTCAGCAGGTCTGGCAGCATCTGTGAAGAAAAATCAGAGTTAACGTTTCGGGTCCGGTGACCCTTCCTCAGG